CGACGACGACAACGACGCCGACGCCGACGACGACGAAGACGACGACGACGACGCCAACGAAGGCGACGACGAGGGAGGAGGAAGGACGACGACGGCGACAACGACGACAACGACGACAACGACGAGGGACGAGGGAGGACGGCGACGACGCGAACGACGACGAAGGAGTAAGGACGGCGACGCCGACGACGACAACGACGAGGGAGGAGGGAAGACGACGACGACAACGACGACGACGACGGCGACGAAATAGGAGGGACGACGACGAGACGCCGACGACGGACGACGACGACGACGTGGGAGGAGGAGGAAGGACGACCACGGCGACAACGACGACGAAAACGACCACGACGCCAAAGAGGACGACGACGACGAACACGAGAAAAGACAGAGGACGACGTAGGCGACGACGACGACGACGACGCGGGAGGAGGGAGGACGGCAACGACGACGACGACGACGACGCAAGAGCGCGCGCGCGCACGCTTTTGTTGAATATCCGTGTTGCGAAACCTTCGGTTTTTGTATGTTTTTGGAACGCACGGTTTTGAAATCCTTCCGAAACCGATGGGTTGTGAAGGTTTTCGGCATACGCCCGCGACGACGCGCGCGTCTGCACTTCGTCTGATTTTGTGAAGACTATTCTCGCGACGGCACACGCGCAAGGGCGTTCGACAGATTTCGACATGCGCGCGTGCGAAACCCGTTTGGTAGCATTTTGTGTAAATCTTGAAAAACCATGGTTCTCGTAAGATTTCACAAGAGCTCGCGCGGAAGTTGTTTTAACAAATCCGTGTTGCGAAACCATGTGTTTTTTGTATGTGCTTTGGAAATTCGATTGCGAAATCCTTCCCGCACCGACGGTTTTTGAAGGTTTTCGGCATGCGCGCGCGACGACGCGCGCGTGTGCACTTCGTCATATTTTTTTGTAATGGATTCGTGAAAAGTGTTATGCTGGAACAAAAAATGTCACCGCATGTTTTTTTTTGTTACAGGGGAACCTCAGGGGGGGACCCGGTTTGGCTGGGATGGTACGATTTCATATTTAGGATGGACGAGTGTGCAGACTATATATATATATATATATATATGTATATATATACACATATATACACATACATATACATACATATATATATATATATATATATATATATATATATATATATATGCGAAATCGTATTATCCCAGGGGGGCGCGTTAAGTCCGGGGGGGGATCGAAAGGATAATAAACCTTGGTTTCAAACGGCATTCCGAAATCGCGTGCCCCCCAAAAAACAAAAACAAAAAAAACACAGGTTCGCAACGCGGATTTTCAAAGAAAAAAAAAAAAAAAAAAAACCTGTGCGCGCGTTCATGCGAATTTGTTTCGGGAAAGCCACGAGCCTTTAACTATCTTCAGGAACTGCTACCAAACGGGCTTCGCGCGCGCATGTCGAAATCGTTCGAACGCCCATGCGAACGTGCGGTCGAGAGAATCCCTTGCAAACGGTGAGACGAAGAGCATACGCGCGCGTCTTCGCGAGCGGATGCCGACATTGTTCAAAAACCCTCGGTGTCGTAGCGGTTTGAAACCGTGTCCAAAAATAACTCCAGAACGTGAGGCTTCCCAAAAAAACTGCGTTTTAACATAATTTTGGGACAACCATCGGTTGTTCAAAATGTTCACAGAATTGTGCCAAACGGGCATGCGGCGCCGCATGCCGAAATTATGCGCGCGCCCTTGCGCGCGTGCTGGGGGGGGGGCACGACCCGCATCAAATGATACCATGCGGGCCACTATCGCGCGTCGGCGGCGCGCGCATGTCGAACTCTCTCCAAAACCTGCATCACCGACGCGAGGGCGCCGTCATCGTCGTCGGCGTGATCAGCATCGGCGCCCGCACTGGCCGCGCCTTCGTCGTTGTCAACATCGCAACCAACACCGCTACTATCATCATCGTGCCTACCGTTGTCGACGCTGCCATGGTACCGCGCCCGCCACAGTCGCCGACTCGCAGTGAAGTGCCCGCTGGGAGGTGCCCAGCGGCCCGCGCCACCGCGGCCGCGTCGGTCGCGCCAGACTGGCTGGCCGCTGCGCGCGGGTGCTTGGGTTGGCGCGGCCGCAAAGATGTACCAGCCAACGCCACGCATGCATCGCAATCGCCACCGCATGGGTTTTGCAAACCAAGTCGCCGGTGGGTGGGTGGGATGTTTGCAATAGCATGGAATGTGTCAACCCGTTCGGCAACAATCAATTACAGTACGTAGTTTGCATCATATATCACACCACCCAGAGTGTGCACCATAGATTGCATCACGTGAATTGCACCACGTAAATTGCACCATGTCGATTGCACCGTATATGACCAATCCACCGCATCGCTTGCACCGCAGAGTTTGCACCGCATTGGTTGCACCGCGTGCGCTGCACCACGTAGACCGCACCACGCAGATTGCACCACACGGCATGCTAGAACACACTGCCTGGAGTCCACGATAGCTAATCCCGCCAGCCCTTTAGGGCGTAGGTGGTTTAGGGTGTTTCCTCTTCCGCCCCCTTCTTCCCCTTCGGGAACGGGTTTATCACTGTTCCCTATGAATATACACCCCCTCCCCCAATCGACTGGGAGCCAACCCAGGTCCATGAAGGCCCCCCGCATGCGCAGCGAACCCGATGCGGCCTCCCCCCACTATCCCTCTCAAACAACAATACAGAATACACTTGGCGGCGGCGGCGGCGGCGACTGCGGCGGCTGCGGCGGGGGCAGCGGCTGCGGCGGCTGCGGTGGAGGCGGCGGCGGCGGCGGCGGCGGCGGCGGCGGCGGCGGCGGCGGCGGCGGCGGCAGCGGTGGCGGCAGCGACTGCGGCGGCAGCGGCTGCGGCGGCGGCGTTTTTTGCAGCGGGGGCGCGGCGGCGGCGGCGGCGGCACCGCGGTGGCGGCGGCAGCGGCGGACAGCGGCGGCGGCGGCGCGGCGGCGGCGGCGGCGGCGGGCGGCGGGCGGCGGCGGCAGCGGAGGCGGGCGGCGGGCGGCGGATTGGCCCCCAGTAGATGACCATCCAAGGACGACTGCTGCATGCGCTGCAGCTCGGGCCAGGCTCGGGCGCTGCGTATGTGTCGGGAGGGCGGGGGGGAGTAAGCGAGACGGCTTGCGGGCGGGGAAGGCGTCTTGACCCCTCCCCCGACCCCTCCCCTGGACCTGGACGGGGCGTTTCGCGAGCGGTCGGAGCGTCCAAAACGGCACCGGCGAGAAAGTCAAAATCATTAGCCTTACGTTGGTTTCGGCCCCCATTTTGGAGCTCCCGATGGGGGGGGCGCAATTGAAGCCCCCCCTTCTTTCATCGATCTCTTTCAACATGGCCCCAAGGGCGCCCCTTAGGTTCCCAAGAGTGTCCCAAGAGGGCCGCAAGAGGTGGCCAAGAGGCCCCAAGAGGCGCCCAAGAGGCCCCCAGGATGCCCTCAAGAGGCCCCCAAGAGACCGCCAACAGGCCCCAAGAGGCCCCCCAGAGGCACCCAAGACGCTCCAAGAGGCCTCGGCGAGAATTCCAACATCTGTTCGTTTTACTTAAGCGTTGGCTACATGTTGGCCTCCTGGGGGGGGGGCACTGTTTAAGATGACTTCAAGAGCACCTGGGAGAGCCCAGGACTTCCCGAGTCTTTTCAAGGCGGGGACTCCGATGAACGAACGGCTGCGCGTCTCGGCGCTCAGCTGTGAGGCACCATCAACCTAAAGAGAAAAATGAGAATGAGACTGAGCATGGGTCACGCATGCTAGAGAGGGTTCGGGGGGGCGGGGGACCAGAGAAGCTAAGTGAAGCAAGAGTAAGAGAGCCAAAGGGGCGACATATAGAAAACCCCTCTTGACTTCCTTCACGTGCAAGCACAAACCAGGACGTCCCGAGTCTTTTCACGGCGGGGACTCCGATGAACGAACGGCTGCGCGTCTCGGCGCTCAGCTGTGAGGCACCATCAACCCAAGCCGTTCCCAAGAATGTTTACTGGGTGGGCGGGCAAGGGCGATTATATAAAGACGCGCGCCATTCACTCAAGAGGACTTTGGCAAGCTTCCTATTGAGGGCAGGCGGGTAGGCGGCAGCGATAGCAGTCCATTGCGCACCATTCGGGGCGTTGCCCTCAAGAACAATGTGTTGACGGCCAGACTTATTACAGATTCCATTGATCTGGGCACACCGTCGATCGAGACAACTACTATCCTGGACATCTACGCCCAGACACAAAAATCTCGTCCGCTTGCGCCAACGAGCTCCCTCCTGACACTGGTCGAGACATCTTACGTTGGCCCCCCGATCTATAAACCCCTGAACCTCTCTCGTGACAAACACGCGTGAATTCACAGGATGTTCGAGTATACAGGGAACTCGGAATTTCTCACAACATCTGATGATGGAAAGCGCAGCACGCATGGTCTTATTGCCAAGCGCCAGGCGAGCAAGCTGCTTCGTATTCAAAAGATGCGGCGGGAGACCCCAGGGCTGCGATGCCGAGCGGATGGCACCCACACGGTCTGCAGCAGTGGTCCAGGGCCCGCAGGGAGGTGCCAGCATCACGGCCAAGACACGGCCAGCGGCAATGTCCGAGCACAGCCCACGCAGGACCTTCCGTCGGAGTAGGTCGCCGGCTGGCCCATGCAGCGTGTCCCAAAATCTGGCTGGCACGCCCATTCCCATTGCAGCACGACCCACACCTCCTTTGCCACTGAAGCAGTCGGCTAGGTACTGGCCCGTCAGGCGTGGTCGAGCTCCCGCAAGTCGACTGGCGAGGCGCGCCCCAAAATGATGTCCGCGAGCTGAGCCTCGCAGACCAGGAACACGTTTTGTTGCGCGCTGCTCAGCGTCGCCCAAGTGGCTGCCAGGCGTGCATGCTTCTCGTGGCGGACCACGCTGCGGTTGGTCTTCCACTGCCCGCGCTTCTGCACGTCGGCCAGCCGCCTCCACCTTCTCGCCATGTCTATCGAGGCCCCCGAGTGGCGCATCTGGTACGGCACCACCTTGGCCTTCACCTGCAGGTCTTGGAGGCCAGGCTGAACATCTTGCAGTACTCTGGGTACGTGAAGTTCCACAGGCACTCGGGGTGGCCTTCCTTCTTCATCTGGCGCAGCACAGAGTCCAAGAAGCGAATCCAAGGCGAGTCTAACTCTAGCGACACGTCCCCCAGGCCCGTCTTGTCCCTCAGGTCCTCCTCCTCTGGAAAGAGCCTCAAGGTCCAGAACTCGCACACTCCCGGCGCCGGCGGCACCAGGCAGGCCGGCTTCAGGAGCAAAAGGCTGCTGGGGCGAGCATACACGCTGACTGCTATCAACGTGAACACCGCCATTTGAAGACTGCCACGGGCCTTCATGCGCCACGCCATAGCGCGCCACAGAGCCAGCGGCCACGGCTTCCTCGTCCGCGGCGGCTCCAGGCGCCGCCAAGGCCGGAGGCATCTCCAGCCCCGGGGGAGGCGCCGAGCTCCGTAGCGCGAGAAGTCGGGGTTGAAATGCAACACCCCCGCCATCAGCTTCTCGGCCCAGGAGAGGTGAGTCCCGGCGTGGTACAGGCCGTTCAGGTAGCTCACCAACGCCGAGTCCACCTCGGAATCGTCTCTGCTCTTCATGACCTCGTCGATGTCGACCGAGGGCCAGCTTCGACGGGCAAAGTCCCGCCATCCGTCCCAGGCCCTCTGGTACTCGCGCTGCGTCGGGGTCCGCACGGCCTCCCGCTCCAGGAGAGAGAAACCCTCCTCGTCGGCAGGCGTCCCGTAGTGGCGAGCACGGCGCTTCTGCGACTGCGCGAGCCTGCGCAGCCGCGCGGCGCCGGTCACGACCTCGGGCTCGGAGCTCCCGCTGTCGGAGGAGCCGACGCTCTCTCGCGCTCCCCGAACGGGCTCCGCTGGCACAGGCACCTTCGTCAGGTCCTCCACCACCTGCCCCAGGCTCCGCGGCAGGGGTCGGCTCAGCACAGCTGTCTTCAAGAGCCCCGACTCGCCCAGCTGACGCTCCCGCCGAGCTGCCGGCAGCGGCAGCGGCGCTATCGGCGGCGCAGGGACCAGCTGCCGCGTGCGCCTCGCCCCCTGGCCGCGGGCTGGAGGCTGCAGGCCAGGCTCCGGGCGGCCCGCCCCAGGCCGCGCGCCTCGCCTGGCCTGCCGGGGGCTTCGAGAGCGCTCCCGCCCATCTGGCGCTCGAGGGCGCCCAGGCTGCATCGCGGGCCGCGACGCCATCGGCCGCCCGCTCGGGCTCGGCCCTGGCGGAGACCCGCCCTGGGCTCGCCCGGGGGCCCTCGAGCTCCAACAGCTCTGCCAGAAGAGTAGACTTTGCGCCGTCAGGATCGAACAGCCGCGAGGGAAGATCGGCACAGTTGAGCTCACTGGGTATCCATCGAATCGAACAACGAATGTTTCGGCTCAAACAGACTGCGTGAAATCGACGAATCTGGACCAACAAGTTGAAACACGAGCTCCTCCCCCGATTGAAGCTTAGCACGACCGACATATTGTCACAAAGCAGTAACTGACGTATATGAGACCCAAAGACCGTAGTGGCTATACGATGAATGCTGCTTACCAGGGCTCGGGCCTCCAAGGTCAGGATGCCCTCGGGGTGTTGCCAGGCTCTCGCGAAACAGGGCTCCCAAAGGCCTGCGCGGAGCCCCCGAGCGGGCACCTCCGGGAAGTCCCTCACGACGTCCCACTGGCCCAGCTCCTCCTCGTCCTCGGGAAGACCCTTGAGTTCCCATTTTCCACTCTCACTCATGCTGAAACCAGCTGCACAGAGCGCCGCCTCTCGAGCACTGTGGGCGCAGCGCCGGCGGAAGCGGGCTCGCTCAGGCACGCGTCCGACTGACTCCACCAGCTCCCGCGGCCAAAAGGCTCTTGCCAGCCCGTAGCCATGAAGACTGGCGTCAGACTGCTGCACCATCGGATTCCAAGGCAGCCACCAATCTGACTCCAAAAAGTACATCAGGGAGCTGAAGGCGGCCAGCTCTTGTCGAGCCTCGGCCCATAGCACGGCCGCCTCGTCGTAGTGGGCTCGCACAAAACCGCACACTGAATTGAAAGCTGACAAAGTGCCGCGCGAGCAGAGGCCACAAAAGGTCAGATGGCCCAGCACCGCCTCCACGGCCCACCCCTTGACACGGCGGCGGGCTAGGAGGCCTCGCACGGCCTGGCGGCAACGCCAAAAGCGATCACTGGTCACACGTGCGCGCAACCGGTTGCCGTCAATCTCCGCGCCAAGCGCCACTGCCATGCCCGGCACCAGCTCGTCCTTGCGCAACAGTAGGTTCAGCTCGGTGAACTCGCCCGTGAGCTGGTTCATCACGCCGCTCACAAGCTCGGAGAACAGCGAAAAGACCCCCAAGTTGTCCACGTATACATAGTGCCTGACTTCCTTGGGCGGCCCGCCGGGCGCGAACACGAGCGGCGGCCCATGGTCTGACAAGCTGGGCTCCCAGAGGAGCGCGCTGCTGCGGCGGCTTACCTCCTCGTTCGCCCGCTGGGCGAAATAGAGAGACCAACTGAAACCCATGGGCAGGACTTGCCAGCAAGGATATATGGCCGTCGACGCCCGTACCTTGGTCCCCTCGACCTCGGACACGCCAAAGGCCCCAGCCTTGACTGGCGGCAGGCAGAAGTACTGCGAAAGGGCTGAATCGATACGCATTCGATGAAAGCAGTCCTTCACGTCCGCCATGCCGATGTACACCTGCTGCGCATGCGACGCGGCGCGGAGGTCCTCGTAGCTCGAGAAGCCAGAGTCTGGCATCTGAACCTCGATCCTGGCGAGGCCCTCACTGCTCAATAGCTCTACCCCAGGTGGGTCTCTGAAGTGGGCGTTAGTACGGCGGGCGTCGACTATGAGACGAAGTCGGCGCCGCCCATCCTTCCACACAAAAAACATCCCAATCCTCTCTTTCGGTGACAGAGTCCACCCCAGGATGCCAGCTGACAGAAGCCGACGCACCAGGCCGCGGTACTCCTTGTGGTTAAATTTGAGGACCGAGTCGAAGTACGGCTCGACATCGGTCGGCAAAGGTGTCTCTCGTAGCATGCGCTCTTGGCGCTCCTGCAGGAAGGTAAGGGCCTCGCCAGGCAAGAGGTCCTCCAAACGCGGGCAGTCGCTCACGTCCGTCGGCATGCTGACGAGCCCTGCACTGTAGGAGGCGACCGTCGTCGGGCCGCCGCGCCCATCGCATGGCGAGCGACCCCGCAGCAGCTCCCGAAGGGCCGCCTGCGGCTCCTGCAACTTGGCGTCCGGCTGCCGGCCCCGCACGAGGCCCTCGAAGCGCTCAAGCACATCCCGCTGCATGTCATTGGCTGGGCCAGGGTGCGAGTCGTAGCCCGACATCCAGTTGATGGCCTCGACGATATACCGTTGACCTCCGACGCAATCCGACCCTCTCGGCCGAACTGCCTCGCCCTGCGCGACCTGCCGCGAATTCGGCGGCCTGCACCGCCCAGCAGCGGGAGCGGCAAGAAACTGCGGGCTCCACGCGAGGGCGGCAGTCGGCCACCGTCGTGCCCCGGCGAAAAGGGCCCGGGGGTGGGGCTGGAGCCCCCGGCCCCGGGGGCCGTCATGACCCCGTGGAGGCGACGCCCCTGGCCCGGCCGCGCCCGCGGCCGCCTCGGCCGCCACCGCGCCCCGCGCCTGCTGCGTCACCTCCAGCTCCTTCTGCTCCGTCGACTGTCTCTGCAGGCGCCCCACGTAGTGTACGCGCTCGACCTTGCGCCTGCTCTATCTCGCGCTGCTCCTTCGCCCGCCGGTGGACGTAGCCCCTGAGCTCTGGCCCCGAGACGTCCTCCACCGAGCTCACGCCCTCGAAGAAGCGTGTGTTCGTCCAGCTCGGCTTGGTCGGGTCCGAGTAGGCATCCACCACAGCGGCGACTCGGCGAGTCAACACCTCCACCATCATGAGGCCGCCCATGTTCAGCTGATCGTATACCCCGCCCTGGTACAAAGCCTCCACGATCGTCCTCAGCTCGTGCACCACGCGGTCATTCTGACCCAGGCCCTTCATGCGGATGAAGAGGTCGAGCCAGAGCCGCGGGTCGCCTCCGTGCCTCTCCATGTGCTTCAGCATGTGGAGAGCCCCCGGCGGTCCGTCCACCTTCGCGTCCGGGTAGTGCTCCTGCCTCGACTCACCTACCACGTCCCGCCATCGCTTGAAACGCTCGCCCTGCTCGTCGTTGTCAACCCAGAGCGCGCGGGCGTCGGCGTCTCTCTCCTCCCCCAGCGGCTCCGCCACGGGAGGCAGCGCCAGCTCGGGCGTAGCAGCGCCGCCGACACGCTCAACGGGGCCATCATCCTCGAGTGGCAACGCGGCTTCAGCGCGTCGGCGATCGGGCCCCGCGGCACGGCCATGGCCTCTGCCTAGGTCTTGCCAGACCGCGGCCTCCTCGCTCACGCGTCCTGGGGCTGCTCCAGCATCCAGACGAACGAGTCGCACCATGCTGCCGTCGGAGGTCCTCAGCACGCCGAAAGGCTCGGGCCCGCCCTCGAAGCTCAGGCCCTCGCTGTCCGTCACGACGACCTCCGACCCGACCGCGACGCCGGGCCCGCCGCTGAGGGCGATCCAGGCCTGACCAGCCACAGGAGCCTCCAGAAGCTTCCCGCCTAGGCGAGCCACGGCCATGCCCAAGCGCAGCAGGTTGGCCCGCTCCGCGGCCGACAGCCTGCCCGAGGCCTCCTGCCACGAGACTCGCTGGCCGCTCACAGCCACAGCCTCCCTCGGCTCGGGCAGGGCGGCGTCTATCTCCAGCGCCGCCTGCCAGCCCCGTGTCAGCGCGTCGGCCAGCTCGTCGGGCCCCAGGGCCTCTCGAAAGCGATACAGCCTCCGCATCTTCCGCGTCCGCAGCGCCAGCGGGAAGGCCCGCGAGGGCCCCGTCTCGGGGTTCTCGCAGCTCATGTCCTCCACGTAGATGTCCCCGTCGGGGGTCAAGATGACCCACTCTCCCTCTGCCACGTAGTGCAGCAGCACTCGCTCGTGGTCGACGTCGTCGTCAGAGAATCGGCAGACCACCCGCTCTCCTGGGAGCGCTCTAGTCCACCACTCCCGCCCCGCGTCTCCGCGGAGCCACCCCACGAGCGTCGACATGCCTGCTGGCTATCACTTTTCCCACCAGACAGTGCACCACCCCTCCGAGCAGCGCTCCAACCAGCTTCTCGACCGCCTTCTCGCCCGCCGTCGCCGCCGGGCACGCCCTAGCCTCACAGGCAGGGCACGCCGCGCACGGAGGCGGCTCGCAGGCCGGGCAGGCCGCGCAGGGAGGCGGCTCGCAAGCCGGGCAAGCCACGGCCTCAGGGCAGGCTGCCGCCTCTGGACACGCCGGGCAGGCGGGGCACGTGATGTCAGGGCAGGCAGCCTGCCTTGGGCCCCACCCTGGCCCCAGGTAGGCCGCGGCCTCCAGCGCCAGCACCACCCAGGCCGGCAAGGCGGCCGCCCCGCCAGGGATGGCGACCCCGTCCATCGACTAGGGACCAGAGAAGCTAAGTGAAGCAAGAGTAAGAGAGCCAAAGGGGCGACATATAGAAAACCCCTCTTGACTTCCTTCACGTGCAAGCACAAACCAAGATGACCTCCAAGATGGCTCAAGATATCCCAAGATGCCTCGAAATGGCTCCCACGATGCTCCAAGAGGCCCTAAGACCGCTCCAAGACTGATCCAAGTGGCCACAGAGCTTCCCCAGGATGCCCCGAAGAGGCCAACATCCTTCCAAAACCTTGGGCCATTCAGTGTTTTGGTTTTCTCGCCTTTTCGCTTCCAATGGCCATCCGAGGCCTCAAAATGGCTCCAAGATGGCCCAAGAGGGTTCCAAGAGCGCTCCCAAGGGTCCCAAGAGCACTTCAATGGGGGTCCCAAGAGGCGCCCAGGATGCCCCAACAGGCGCGCAAGAGGCCTCCAAGAGGCTCACAAGAGACCTCCAAGAGGCCCCAAGAAGCTCTCCGAGGCACACAACACGCTCTCAGAGGCGTCCGGGACCGCCAAAAGGCCCCCAAGACGCTCCAACGGGCCTCCACTGGGGGGCCTTTCCTATGTGTGCTGCCCACTTCCCTGATCGAGGCAATTCCTCTGGGCATCGTTTCAGGATGGGTTTGTGGGGTTACTTTTTCTTCAGCGGCCGCGGGCGAGCGCGCCGGCGGCGAGTCCAGTCAAAGCGGGGCACGCAGCGACGAATTAACCTAAGGCGACGGAGGGAGGCTACACCTACAGCGGCAAACCGAGCCCTCACGCAGCAGCCCAGCGGCGGACCGGCGGGTGGGGGGACAGCTGAAACGGAGTCGAACTGCCAGCGTGCAAGAATGCAAAGCGTCGGACACCAGGGAATCGGGACACACGACGACCCGGGCCAGAAGCCGAGATTAAGGCAAGGACGCAACCCCAGACAAGTGCGTGAGTACCAGGGTGGCCCGAAGGACCGTCGGCCTAGAATTAAAAGCCAGGAGGCGAGAAAGTGGTCAGGGTCTAGATCCCAGAGAGGCCGTAACCGCATAGTCCCGAGGCAACAGAGCGCACGACTGCGGGAAACAGCGGTGCTGCGACGCAGCCAAAATGGCGCGGGCCACCACGAACCAGTGCGTGAAGTGGTGCCAGGTTGACCCACACCGGGTCCTGAACCGGGCCACGAGCTGGAAGCCAGCACGCAAAGTGGCGACGGGGGGTGGGAGCACCACGGGAAAGACCCAAGCCTGAGCCCAGGGAACCAGTCACACGTGGTGGGGGCGCACGGGTCAGAGCGGTGCCAAAGACGGCCGCCGGCCCCGTATGGGGGGGGAGTAACCGCGATTTGAGCGGCAAAACGAAAGCCGGTGCGGTGGGGGGACGACGCCACCAACCGACGAAGAGGCCGGAGGCCAGGCCCACCGGGGGGGGGGGCACCCCGACCCGGCGGGCCGCCCGGCAGCGCTGGAAATCGCGCCCAAGGGGTGAGAACACCTACAGCGGGCCGAAGGCCGGTATTGGACAGGTGGACCACGGCCCCAGCGGTAGCCCACGAGTCAGCATTGTCAGCGTCGTGCCACTGCTCAAGTTCCCAAGGACGGGGAGCAGTGGGGGCGGGGCAGGGAAAGGCATCCAGGAAGGAGCATTGCCTGCAGGTCGACCGGCGGCCACCGCGGGGAACGCAGCGGACACGCCAGGGGTGAAACGAAGTTTGTTTGGGGGGTGGGGGCGGGGGTACTTTTAGTCAGCGGCCGCGGGCGAGCGCGCCAGCGGCGAGCCAGGTCCAAGCGGGCTACGCAGACTTAGGCAGAGGCGACGCGCAAGGCAACAGCTACGCGGCAAGCCGAGGCTTCACGCAGCGGCCCAGCGGCAGGTGGATGGCTGGAGGAACTGAAACTGAGTGGAACTGCCAGCGTGCAAAGATGCAAGTCCGTCGAAGGCGCCAGACGTCGGGGTATAAACGACGACCATGGACAACCCTCCCTCTCATTCTTCCAGACCTTCCGTGCTGACCTTCCACCCTCTTGCGCTACCTCAAACGCTGAGTTATCTTGAATTGCGTAAGGTTTACAATGGTTATAACGAATTGTTTGAGGTTCCAGCGAGTTCCCGAAAAACGCAAAGACATTCTGAGACACCGCTCCTTCTCTCTCGTTTCCGCCGCCATCACAGCCTTCACCCTCATCATCATCCTCATCATCAGCATCATCATCATCATCATCATCATCACAATCATCATCATCCTCATCATCATCATCAGCATCAGCATCAGCATCATCAGCACCATCACCATCACCATCACCATCACGTCACGATCATCGCCAGCATTGCATTCGAGTGCTTTACTGCGCACTGCATCTCTAGGACGCATTTTCTTAATCAGCTGGTCGTTGAGGACCTGTCTGGGGGATGCGGGGCGGAGCGAGCGACCTCCTCAACCCCTCGCTCCTCCCCGCATCCCCCAGACAGGTCCTCAACGACCAGCTAATTAAGAAGATGCGTCCTAGAGATGCAGTAGCAGTAAAGCACTCTGGTGCAATACTGGCGATGATCGTGACGTGATGGTGATGGTGGTGGTGGTGATGGTGATAATGGTGATAATGGTGATGATGATGCTGATGATGATGCTGATGATGATGATGCTGATGCTGATGATGAGGATGATGATGCTGATGATGATGAGGGTGAAGGCTGTGATGGCGGCGGGAACAGGAGAGAAGGAGCGATGTCTCAGAATGTCTTTGCGTTCTACTGGCACTCGCTTTAACCTGATACAAGCACTTGAAGGTAGCGCAGAAGGTTGGAAGGTCATCATCATCACCAGCATCATCAGCAACAGCATGAGCAACATCATCAGCATTAACATCATCATCATCAAGTGCCAGTCGCATGTTCTTATCCAGGGTCTTAGGGTTCAGGGTTTAGGGTTAAGGGTTTGAATGCGCCACATGCGTCGACGCATGGCGTCGGGTAGGGTGTCGACGTAGGGCGTCGGGTAGATCAACCAAGACTTGAGCGTATTGTGTTGCAGCCAGTCTGGACCCCAAACGGCGTCATCTGGATACATTGTTATGTACTCGGTGGTGCAATCTATGTGGTGCAATCTATGTGGTGCAATCGTGCACGTGAGACACACGCTACACTTGACGCCGTCGCACCCGCAATGTGCGAACCGACGTGGGCGACGACGGGCGACCCCGCACCGACGCGCGCCAGCCCGCGCATCACGCGGGCGCGGGTGGGTGACAGTTGGGCGGGGTCACCCGTCATCGCTCACGTCATCGCAGATGACGGGTGCAATGGCGCCTCAGATATTGGGCGCCATGGGATAGTATTGAGAGGGTGGGGATGGGCAAGAGGAGGAGGAGGAGGAGGAGGAGGAGGAGGAGGAGGAGGAGGAGGAGGAGATGAGACGACGAGAAGAGCCATGGAATCCACAACTGTCTGAACGATGAAACAGCTGTACACAGGATTCACGCTCCTGAGCTATGGCACTGGCCCGTCGGCACCTGTGAGGCTGGCTCCTTCCCCATCATGGTTCCTCTTCCTCTCCCTCCTCGTCTCCTCATCCCTCATCCCTCATCCCCTTTCTACTTTATTGGTATTCACCTCCGCCTCCGACCTGTTGTGCTGTAAAATATGATGCCCCCCCATTGGGCAAGGGCGCACGCGGCAGAGCCGTGGCGCAAAGGCGCAAAAACGCCGTTGGGGAAACATCCACCACATGCAATCATTGCGGCCCGTCTAGGTCGTCCTCGAGCGTCGCCTCCGTGGTCGGCTGCACGTCGTTCCAGCCCCTGGCCAGAGAGTCGGGCGAGCTGTGGTCGGGGTACTCGCAGAGGGGCTCGAGCTTCGGGTCGACGATGGCGAAGTACCAGAGATTCTTCCACACGTCATCATCGTCCGCCAGGGGGTCGCCCTTGGCCAAACCGCTGTCGTTGCGGAAGATGCGCGCGTCATTGATTAGTTGGAAACCGTTCGGCAGTGCCAGCTGGGTCACGAGCCACGTCTTCAGGACGGCACACGACACGCAGTCGCCGCGACCAGCCAGCACAGGGTTAGGAACTTTGATGAACTCCCACGCGCCCGTCTCCTGAATCTTCACCGTGAACGTCCAGACGGGCTCGCAGCTCACGCCAGAAACGATGCTCTCAGCATGAGGGTCCAGCAATGACCTCTTCGATGCGATGAGATTGATCGTGCGATACGTGGACGGGTTGACAACGTACTCGTCCCACAGCGGGTGCTTCGCCACGGTCGGGTGGGTTTGAGAAGCCTCGTAGATGTAGATGTCCGCATCCCAGTCAGCGTGCACCGAGTAGTCTTTTTTGATGCTCTCCTTGATCATCTTCACCTCGACGCCGCTGGACCACGACAGGTTGGTACCGACCTCCGCAATCACTGGCCCGAAACACGCCAGCTCCTCGAAGTAGATGCTGAGCTTCAGCATGCCCGTAGTCGCACCCGACACCGCAATGTATTCAGTCGCAACCATCGCACCTGCCTCGGGCGAACGCCTTGGGCGAAAGCGTTGGGTAGGGCGGCGGGTGCGGCGTCGAACGTGCACGAGCTTGAGCCACAATGTTCTATTCACGGGTGTTGTGCTGTTGAGCGTGTTGTTTTAGCCCTGGTCGGGTGCGGCACCCAAACACTGCTCCAACCCCAAACACACTGGGCGTGGACCCCAAACAGTGCGTGGACCCCAAACAGCGCTAGACCCCAAACAGCGCTTCGACCCCAAACAGAGCGGAATTCGATGCACGGCATTCGCACACGGCACCGCAATCCGATGCACGACACGGCACCGCAAGGGTGATGTTGGTGACGGTGAGTTTGACGGTGGTGGTGGTGATGGTGACGATTGTTGCATTTTCAGGCATGGCACTTTTGCAAATGCTTCATGTACCATTTGACGGCGGCGTTCTCTGTATACTTGGTCCTGTTCACATTCACTGACATTTTCCTGGCATGAAAATTTTCAGATTCATCTGCGTAGTTGTGCGTCCAACCTGGGTTGCCCGCGAAAC